CCTTCAGCGGTGCCCCGGCCCCCACCAGCCCCCCAGCGCCCATCTGTCCCCCCCGCACGTGTCTGAACGGCGGCACCTGCCAGCTGGGTGCCCAGAACCTCCTGGAGTGCCTGTGCCCCGCGGGCTTTGCTGGCGTGTACTGCGAGGTGGAGGCAAGGGGAACGACGTCAGCCCCGGGCACGCCAGCCCTGCCACCTGCACAGAGGGTCAGCATCGCCCAGGTGGGCAGCACCTCCCTCAAAGTGGACCTGCAGAACTACGTCCAGTCCAAGGCGCAGCTGAAGGGCATCCGCCTGAGCTACCGGAACCTGTCGGGGCCGGACAAGCGGCCGGTGATGCTGCGCTTGCCGGCCTCGCTCTCCGAGTACACGGTGCGGGCGCTGAAACCCAACTGCACCTACCGCGTGTGCATCGGGGCACTGGGGGAGCTCCCCAAGGAGGAGCACTGTGCTGAGGCACAGACCCTGCCCCTCAGCCTGCAGCAGCACTCCCCTGTCAGCCAGAGCCAGGACCCCAACCTCGCCCTGATCCTCGTCCCTGCGCTGGCTGCCATGCTGCTGCTGCTGCTGCTGGTCACCGCCGCCATGTACTACTGCCGGCACCGCCGGGCCAAGGCACACGCTGGCACTGGGGTAGACACCGGCCCACTGGAGCTGGAAGGGGTGAAAGCCTGCCTGGAAAACGGGGATTTGAGCAGCCACGGCTGCAAGGTGCCAGAGGCGGCGATGCTTTCTGGCGGCTCTGAGTGCGAGGTGCCGCTCATGCAGTCGCACTACCCCAGCAACAACAACACCCCGGGGCTCAAACCCTCCTACTTCTGAACCCAAAGGGCTTCCAGAGCCTTGGACACAGGAGGGCTGAGCTCCAGTGGCAGCACCTGGCCATGTCCCTCTGGGATACGGATTGCCAAGGAGCTGACTGAATTGAGGCAGAAACCCCCCAAACCTACAACGTGCAATTTCCGAGAGGCTGCCACACTTCGGGAGGAGACACGAATTTTACTGCCCTGTGCCTTGATTTCTGTGACTCTAACTAGAATGTGGGTAGCAGAAGAGAAGTGGGGGGTTAATTTGGGGGTTGGGGGGCTTTTTTTAGCTCCTGCTAAAGAGAAAGCTGCTGTGATTCGGCTGAGGGGCACCCACGTGCTGGTAACAAGGGTCCTTCAGCGGAGCACGGCCCGTGACTCGACTCCCTGGAAGCTGATGTGAGCAATACGGCCTGGCCGAGGTGCTGGGACCCTCGGGACCCCCCGGGCCAAAGGAAGTGCCGAGCAGGCAAACCGGGAATTGAAGCTTTAAGAACTCAGAGAGAATATTTATACACCGTTATTTCCCATTTCTTCTGGGAAAACTTTTTTTTTTTAGTACAGGTTTGTGTACATCTCTTTTGTAAGGCAGACCAGAAGGATGTCTTTTTGTAAAAAAAACCCAAAAAACAAAATAATTAAAATAACAACAACGAAAAGTTCTGTGCAGCCCTAAGCACCTCGGCAGGCGCTGCCCGTCCCAGGCAGGGGTGTGGGCAGCGCGGCGTGTCCCCTGCAGAGGAGCGGGAAGGTCAGCCGTGTCCTCCCGTTGTTGTTGGCGAGCACCGGGATGAGTCAGGGTAAGGGAGGGGGGACTTTTCCCGACTCTGGGCGTTTTTACCCCCAGGGCGCTGCCCCCCACCTCGGGCGCTGAGGATGTGTTCCCAAAACAGAGGCCACGGGGTTCAAATCAGCCCCTGCCCTGCGCATCATCCAGCCTTACTTCATCCTCCCCGCCTGCCAGATGGCTCCGGGGCCAGCTGCGGGACAAACAGCCCAGCCCAACCTCCTGACGTCACCCGCGGCGGCACCGGGACCCCCAAATCGCCCGTGACAAGTGTCAGCCCGCGTGGCCCCCCGGGCCGGGGGCCGCAGCCAGAACCCCCCGCTGCCCGGCCCCAGGAACAGCCGGTTTTGTGCGCTGGCCCTGGCGGGGT